TGCCTGCAGGGTTTTTCCCCACTTTTTTGCCTGCCTGCAGCACAAGTCTTTAGGAAGGGAAGGTCTCTGCACTCAGCCTTGCAGAACCTAAACTCAGTTGAGACCTCTCCATGCTGCTGTAAGAGTGTCAATAAATAACTGATTAAATTAAATAAAACACAGAGCAACTGCCTCAGGTGTAACAGAAAAGCCCCTATTTCCTTTACCTGCCTAAGTCATAATAATTTATGTATTATGTAGAAGACAACAGAATCATGGAATCATGGAATCATGGAATCATGGAATGATTTGGGTTGGAAAGGACCTGTAAGATCATCTCATTCCAACCCCCTGCCATGGGCAGGGACACCTCCCACCAGCCCAGGTAGTTCCAAGCCCCGTCCTACCTGGCCTTGAGACCAAGAGACTGAGATTCCAGCCCCGGCCTTGCCTAGTGGGTACAACAGAGAATAAACTGGCCCAAGTTGCCTGTAGAGGTGGTAGAAGCCCCATCCCTGGAAACATTCAAGGTCAGGTTGGTCGGGGCTCTGAGCAACCTGGTCCAGTTGAAGATCATAGAATCACAGAATCGTAGAGTCATTTAGGTTGGAAAAGGTCTTTAAGATCATCAAGTCCAACCATTAACATTGGACCGTTAAGATGTCCCTGCTCACTGCAGGTTAGATGACTTTTAAAGGTCTCTCCCATCCCAAAACACTCCGTGATTCTGTGATTTTAGGAATAGCCTCCTCAGAGAAGCACTGTGAGATCGTCGAAGGACAGCCACAGGTAAAAACTCCTTATCCGCTGAGCTCACCCTAAAGTCGGCTCCAGCCCTTGCACAGAGAGGAAGGGTCCCCACCAAAGCAGCACCATGCCAGGGTGGTGAAGGTCCCTTTGCCCACAGGATCTCCTCTCTCTAGGGAAGATATTTAAGCCGAAGAAGGACCATTGCCTCCCCTCCGGGTAGGACTATTCAGACTTTCTCCAGGGATGCTAGTGATGCTGCCATTCACAGGGCAAGGGGAGGAAGATGAGGAAGCTGAGCAAGGTTTTTAAGTCATTTCCAGCCTTGTGAGGTTTGCTGGGTCATTAAATGCCAGGGGAGGGAGATCAGCAAGCGCTGGATGCTCTTGCCCTCCTGGGAACTCCCCGCAAGCACGAGTGTTGCAGAGCCCCAAAATTGCACGGAGCAGCTTAGCTGGAGCCGATAAGAACACGCTTGATGTGAATACCAGGTAAGCGAGGCGCAGTCGGGATTTACAGGAGGAAAATTGGGATTGTAAAAAAGGGATTTACAGTCTGTTTCAAAATCCTACCTCTTCCTGCCCATAAATCCAAAGAACGCACAAAACAAGTAAGTCCCTTGGCTGGGCTTGCACCATTTTACACAAGATAAAACACAAACGGAGTCAGGCAGAGGAGGGAACATGCCAGAGGAGTTACTGCTGGTTGCCACATTCCTGTGTGTTTCAAAGGGGGTGGAAAAGAAAACGGGAATTCCAAAAAAAAAAGCAGCTACACAAACAGGCCAACCAAAGTACATGGAACAAGCCCTTGGAACAACCCTAATGGGAGAGGAGCTGGGAAGGAGGTAGCAGTGGACGCACAGGCTATGGGTCCCCCCTCCAATGGCTGGGCTGCTCCCCCACATCTTATCTGTCTAAAGGTAAATATTGTCACAGAAGCATCCAAGAGATGCAAAGAAAAGACACCGTGAAGAGGTTTTAAAGCTTCTCTGCTGAGAAGCTGGATCCATAGCTGGAGAGGTGGCCCCTTCTTCACCCCCTGGGGGTTCTACCATGGCAGTGTTGATGCAAGGGCCACATTAACTCCTCACCTGTTGCTTTCATAGAATCAGAGAATCATTAAGGTTGAAAAAAACCTGGAAGATTATCTAGTCCAACCGTCAACCTAACAATACCACGACTGCTAAACCATGTCCCCAGGTGCCACGTCTGGACATTTTTTGGACACCTCCAGGGATGAGGACTCCACCCCCACTCTGGGCAGCCTGTGCCAGTGTCTCACCACTCTGTTGGCAACGAAATTTTTCCTAATATCCAATCCAAACCTCCCCTGGTGCAACTTGAGGCCATTTCCTCTTGTCCTATCATCAATAACTTGGGAGAAGAGACCAGCACCCACCTCACCACAACCTCCTTTGTAGGGAGCAGTGAGGTGTCCCCACCTTCAGGCTATGGCACCGGGAGGACGCAGAAGCGGTGTAGCTTACCCTTTGACATAGATGTCACTCATCTTCTCCCCAGTGATGCTGAGGTCGTCAAGGATGACGTCTTTGGTGTTCCAGATGATGCAGCGCAAGAAGAACCTGGGCAGCCCCAGCAACAAAAGCAGCATGAGAAGGTGGAAATCTTGGTCCAGAGCCCACCTACACAGGCTGGGTGTGCTACTCAGCTATTTAGCTCAAAGAATCACGGACTGCTTTGGGTTGGAAGGGACCGTAAAGACCATCTAGTTCCCCCTGCCATGGGCAGGGTCGCTTTCCGAGTTGCTCAAAGCTCCATCCAGCCTGGCCTTGATCACTCCCAGGCATCTATCTCTAGATCATCTTTCTCTGAATATGAGCCCACATAGAAGTTTCTCACCCAGGAAAGCGAATCCCTCCCCATATGACATCTCCAGACCCTCTCCTCTCCCCTCACAAACAGAAGGTGCTGGAACCAGCAACACACTGAGCCAGAAATGAAAACCAAGTTACCTCTTGGCTTTGCGTGGCGTGATGTTGAAAGGGGGGCCAGGCTGACCCAGAGATTTCGGAAACAGGTCCACCCACATCTGTAGCTTCCCCTGTATGGGAAGAAAGACACGTGAAGCCTGGTGAGCCCCCAAACCTTCAACTCCTCAGTGGGACCCAGTAGTGGAGAGAGAAAATACCAAGTGCTCCATGGTTCCTTAGTTGAAAACTAAGGGTTCCTGAATGGAAAAGTGTCATTAAGCATTATCTTAAAATTATTTTCATGGTAGCTGAGTATATGCAAAGGGCTTGCGATACATAAGTGGTTGGCCTGGGTAAGCTGAAGGTGCACCCTGGCTTTACTCTTCATGGCTCACTCTCTTTACATAGGGACAGACTGAAGACTAAGTCCATGGGAGGCGTTGGAGAAGCAAGCAGCTCACTTGTTTTCCATGGTGTCACCAGTTATCGTCAGTGGGACAGCTGGTTTAGGGTTTTCTGACCATCAGAGTAAAGGCTGGGACAAGGAGAGGGGAATCTAATTCCACTTTCACAAAATCCTTCCAGGGACAGAGCAGCAGAAAAGCAGCTGAAGTCTCAGGGTGGGGGAGGTGGTTTTAGGTGGTCTCTTTTCCCGTAAAACACCAATGGGTGCCAATAAAACATTTTATTGTGCAGTCTCAAGGGCTGAAAGGAAAAAAAAAAAAAAGCCATCTTTTGACAATCAGCCCATCACCGAGGGGGCTGTGGTTTCCTTGCTTTTTGGCAAGAAAATCTTCCATTTCAGCAGAAAACTTTAAAAGCCCGACCTGGCTTTTAGCTCACTACTGAGAGCCCGGGAGAGCCAGCCTGTTCTGTGGCTTTGCAGTGGGTCAAAGCCATCCTTTTGGGAACTGCCCCGAGTAAAACACGTACAGAGTCGCCTGGGTGAATCCCCTGGACCCAGCATCACCCCCACGGACAGAAACACCAGTGTAGGGCAAACCCTGGTTGCTCTGCCCGCACCTCACAGAGGAATCACCCTTCCTAATCCAAGACCACGACACGGGTGAGAACAGCACGAACCCCCTTGTCAACCCATCACAGCCACCTCTCGCCTTGAACTGCCGTGTCTTTTGGGTAAATTGACATGAAAAGATGTTACGAGTCGTTGCCAGCGAGTTTATTCTACTGGCAAGTCTCCCGTCCCACTGCTGGCGGGGTGAGCTGGTTAGAAATGAAGCAGAGAAGGGACACGGCTGGGCCAGTCTCCTCAAACTGTATGACCAGAGCATGAGTGGCAGATGATAATTAATCATTTCATCCTTCAAGAAGAAGAATTTTTCCATCCAAAAGCATAAAACACACATACGTGTTAATCAAGGAAAAGGGGTTGGGCTAAGTGTAGATATCTGGATTTTGATTGGTTTGGGCTGGAAGCCCGTTTAGGTCTCATTTGGATTAAAAACATCCAGGCTGAAACAGTGCTAACGCTTTGCAAGGGGCAGGGTCGTGCTGCAGAATTCGCTAAAGGAGCCTGCCATGTCATTATGGTTATGGGAGAGTTCTGCACTAAAGACTTTCAGATCAGAAACGGCTTCCCCAACAGAAAAAATAATAATAATCCCTAAAATTGTGAGCAAACGCTGCTGAAAACCAACACAGGAGGCTGGAATCAATCTCCTCAAGCAGTCTGAGCTGAGCTCCAGCCCGCGTTCAACAGCCTGTGCTCTGCCCTGCCCCACAGGCTGACTGCCCTTCCTGGGAGAATCACAAAATCATTAAGGTTGGAAAAGACCTCCAAGATCATCTAGTCCCACCATCTACCCAACACTACCATGACCATTAAACCTTGTCTAGAGAATCCCAACCCCTGGATTAGGTACCTCCAGCCCGGCTCTGCAGCAAGCTGGCCCCCCAGTTAGTGTTGGGCTGAGAGCAGATGATGCTCTTGGTCCTGCCTTGGGCGCATCCCAACCACCCACCTGCTCAATCTCTGGCTGGAGAGGGCTGTAGAGAGGTCTGGTCTCCACGTGCTCTGGCACCAGCCCCTGCTTCCGCAGGGCGTACAGGGCGAGACGTTCCTCCACCGGCCCCAGGTGAGGGTTCAGGGGTTTGCCGTCCTCTGCCACAGAGAATGAGACAATCATCAAGGTTGGGAAAGACCTGTGAGATCATCTAGTCCAACACCACCATGACCACTAAACCATGTCCCCAAGTGCCACGTCTGCATGTTTTTTGAACCCCTCCAGGGATGGGGCCTCCAGCCCTGCCCTGGGCAGCCTGTGCCAGCGCCTCACCACTCCTTCAATAAAGAAATTCATCATAATATCCAACCTAAACCTCCGCTGGTGCAACTTGAGGCCGTTTCCTCTTCTCCTATGCTAGTAGCTTGGGAGAACAGACCAAGCCCCACCACACTACAACCTCCTGTAGAGAGCAACGAGGTCTCCTCAGCCTAAACCACATCAGCCTAAACCTCTCCAGACTAATCCATCCCAGGTCCCTCAGATGCTCTTTTTAAGACGTGTTCTCTAGACCCTTCACCAGCTCTGGTGACACAAAAGCATTACATCACACCACGGACCTGCCAGGCTGGATTCTGACCAGCTCGTGGGAGCTGGCATGAGCCCACCAGCCTGGCTGTGGCCAGGAGCACAGGCTTTATTTGCAAACCCACCATCATCATCATCACAAACCGTCTCGGGCATTGGACAACCAGTGGGACACGTGGGCAAACCAGTGTGTGATGGGACAGGGACCTGCAGGGACTCTCGTGAAATCCCCCCTTCCCCAACAATTACTGCGAGAACATTGCAAGGACCAAGCCGAGGCCAGTGGAAAGGAAAGTTCAGTCTTTGACCCTGCTCAAGGGTTCAGGCCCCCTGAAACCACAGCAGGGGTGGGTCCCCAGCAGCTCTCTAGCCCCCGCTGCTGCTCTGCTGCCATTCCCACCCTCGGCAGAATTTTATCTAATGCAATTAAACGTCTTCAAGGAGAGGAGATCAGAGAATCATACAATGTGCTGGGCTGGAAGGGACCTTTAAAGGTCATCCAGTCCAAATGATGAAAGATGAGATGACGGGGTCTGTGCTGGTGCAGTTTGCAAGCGTTCGCGTGGTGGATATTGGTTAAATCCCAACATTTCAAACCATCCAGGATCTTCAGCAGGGCAGAGAGGAGCGCAGCGGGAATGAGCTCCCTGTGGAGTCCTCCTTCTGCTCTGCTGGGTTCGAGGTGAAAGAGAGAAGTGAGAGGAAAAGGAGGGTCATGCAGACACAACCAGCACAGCTCGATGGCTGGTCCCAGTCCCTGCTCTGGTCCTTACAGCTCCCATTGGGGTATCTGTTCCTCAGGTTCCATCAGACCTGAAACCATCTCCACGGCCTCACCTGCTCCACGCCACACCCTGACCCCTCCACAAACGGGTCACGTGAGACCTATTGATAAGGAACATTTTTTTCTCCTTCTCTGCCCCAACATTCGGGATCCCTGGGACATCCAGCCCAGCACAGAGGATGGATAACTTGGCCTTGGCCGAGCCTGCTCCTGCCACCCCATCCCACATGCCACGCTGGGACTGGTGGAGGACGACACCCCCCGAGACAGTCGCCTTTCAGCCACAGCGTTTCAAGGCCACGCACCTCCGAGGACCTTTGAAATGAAACGCGCTCCATAAATATTATTACAGCTCTGCAACTTTCAGGTGATATATCCCAGCTCCTTTCTTGGCAATATCTTGAAGTGGTTAACTTCAGACATATGGGCTATTTCCCAAGCAGTGGAAAACCTGGCATGTGTGTGCGTGTGTGTGTGTGTGAACAGGAAAAAGAAAAAGCCCCTCTCAGAAAACAACAAATGTGGGGGTTATGGAATAATGGTCCGGGTGCAGCGCTTGTAAAAGCCGTGCTCTCGTGTTTAATAGCTTCACTTTATACCGCCAGGTTCAGATCTGACACTGCTCTGCGAACACAGCTGGTTTCCAGATCTCCTTGAGGTCAAGCATCAGACTTTGTTCTGGTTTTTCCTTTTTTTTTTTTTTAACTGATTGCCATTAAAGCAGAGGAAGGTGAAAGGCAGGGGCTGGGAGAGGGGGGAAGACCCCGCTCGGTTTAACACCTTTCCAGCCCTTGCTGAAAACCTTTCACATAACAAGAAGCTGCAAAGGAGCCATTGCTTCCCCACTCCTCCTCCTCTTCCTCCTCCTAAGGGGAAGACCACGAATTTGTGCCTTGATTCCCAAGAGCTGGGAGAGGGATCGGTCCTGACTTGTGTTTCTGCAGGCCAAGTCCTCCTTGATGGCTCTGCAATACCGTGGTCGCCTTAACAAAGCCAAGCTGCAGCTCCTGGGCCACGTTTCACCTCCTCCCTGGGCCAAAACACCCCTTCCATGCTTTAAAGCAGAATTTCCTCTAAAAGACTCATTTCTGCCCCCAAGCATACCATGAACTCCTGCCCGGGCTATTGCGGGTATCACGTCTTCTTGTGCAAACAAGAAAATACCTCCCTGACTCTGGGTGATATTTTCTCCAGGCTGGCAGAGGCTGATTTTGCACTTCCAGCTGGAGCAGAGCTCGCCACGGTGGGATGGGCCGGGCACTGTGTGCATGATATTGTCTCCCTCTAGTGACTCCAACCCCAAAACGCCGAGATGTGAACAGCACAGCTTCTCCTCCAGCCCAAGCAGTGGCTGGAAGACCAGGCCGGAGCTTCTCTGGCTGCGGTGGACTTGGCTGCTCCCAGCCTGTGTGCGTTGGGTTTGCTGCAAGGAGCAGAGGGCACTCACTCAAGGCCAAAATGAACTTGGCTGGACTACAGCTGTGGGTTCAAAGCTGGGTTTCGGTGCAGACCCAACTGCAACCTGCAGCCTTTTGGGGCAGAGACAAGGTTGGGAGAGGTGCAGATCCAACCTGGACAGCAAGGTGAAGAGGATGGAGATGTGCCCATCACCCAGTCCTGGCCCCCTTGATTACCCTCACTGAGAATCACAGCGTCACACAATGTTGGGGGTTAGAAGGGACCTCTGGAGATGCCCCAGTGCCACCCCCTGCCTGAGCAGGATCCCCCAGGGCAGCCCCACAGGAACGCATCCAGGCGGGTTGGAAAGTCTCCAGAGCAGGAGGCTCCACACCCTCTCCGGGCAGCCCGGGCCAGGGCTCTGGCACCCACAGAGGGAAAAAGATCTTCCTAATGTTTTTTGGACCATCCTGTGCTCCATCTTGCACCCGTTGCCCCTTGTCCCCTGGTCATCCCTGAGCAGACCCTGGCTCCGTCCTCCTGACACTCTCCCTTCCCATATTTATAAACATTAATGAGGTCACCCTCCAACTCCATCCCTCGCTCTGAGTAAAGGAAAGTTCTCTGCAACCCCGAAGCAGCCCCGTTGCCTCACCAAGCTCAGAGAGGATGTACTCTTGCTCCCTGAAGATGAGCCGGTCGGGCTTGTAGGTGGGAGCCTTGTAGTTGTGCTGCAGGGAGAAGAGGTGAAGCAGCTGGGAGGGACGGAGTTGGTCTCGCCACTGGTTGGGTCCAGAGCTGAAACCGAACAGGAGGGAAAACAGCAGCTCAACACGTGGCAAAACATCTTCCAGCCTCAAGAAGGGGCAGCAGCAGCGTTACACCAAAGAGGGCTGGGCTGAGGAAGGTTCAGCTCACTCTGAGTTTGGCGAAGGGGGCAGCACACCCCACAGCTTGCTCAGCCTCAGCTTGCAGGGCTGGGGTGCCCTAACAGCCCCCCCAGACCCACCACGTCACCTTTCAGCTGGCCCTGGGCATGGGGCTTGTCCCCACCGCGGTGTTACATCTGTTAGGGACATAACAGGATCTCCCCAAGGACACCTTTGAAGCACTGCAAGCTTCTGGAGCTTGAGCCAGGGCTCGAGGAAGTTCCTCAGATGTGGAATTTCTCTGGTGTGAACCTGTTTCCAGACATATCTCTGCAGATCCCTGGGCTGAGACATCACCCTGGTGCCCATGGCCAGCTCAGCACCACACAGCCCCAGCAGAGCCCCGCTGCCCCAGCCTGCAGAGGTACCTACATGCAGTAGGTTTGGGGGAGGCCGCAGCGCGCCCCATATTTTGACAGGAACCGGTTCTCTAGGTCTATGACGGTCTCCCCGATCTTCTCATCCTTCGACAGGAGGTCATAGTCGTAGAGTGTGATCTTCAAGTCCTTCTCCAGGGGCAAGGTGCAGCTCAACTCGAACATCCTGCACGACAGGAGCCAAGAAAGACCCGTGAGATGGAGAAATGCCCATGAGATGCTGCTGAGAGCCCCAGGAGAAGCAGACCCACACACCAACCCAATGCACCGCTCCCGGGATGGAACGTACACCCACTGCTCATCTTTGCCACATTGCTCCAGCTCTGTCGGTGCTTTTACTGGCTCAGCTTGTGGATATACAAGGAAGCAAGCATGCCCTGGGTTTATTTTTGCCTGGTTGAATCATCCTCAAGCCAACTTTGCCCCCGCTCACTTTCTCCATCTACTAAGAGGACACGACAGTGGTCACCGCAACATCCAGGGAAAAAGAGCAGCAGGTGAGAGTCAGGTATCCTCATTGTTGTGGAATTTGGAAGAAGGAAGGGAAATGACAGCTTTGGAAAATCTGAGCTCAAAGAGCAAATGTCCAAAAGAGAAGTCAAGCCTGCCTGGTCCAAGCCTGTGGCCAGAGACTGACCCTTGAATCCTCCTTGTTCTCTCCTCCCAGTTCTAAACACTTTTCCTAGAGATGTGGTTGGGTGGTGGACCTGTTATTGGTACAACAACAGTTGGACTCGATGATCTTACCGGGCTTTTCCAACCTAAATGATTCTATGATTAAGGGACTTGAACATCTCTGCTGTGAAAAGAGACTGAGAGAACATGAAAGGAGACGTGCAGAGGGGACCTTTATTAATGTAGAGAAATATCCGAGGGGTGGGGGTCACAGGGAAGGGGACAATCTCTGCTCAGTGGTGCCCAGCAACAGAACAAGGAATAATGGGTTTAAGTTAGAACAGAGGAAGTTCCACCTCAACAGGAGGAGAAACTTCTTTCCTTGAGGGTGCCTGAGGTTGCCCAGAGGGGATGTGGAGTCTCCTGCTCTGGAGATTTTCCAACCCGCCTGGATGCGTTCCTGTGGGACCTGCTCTGGGGGACCCTGCTCGGGCAGGGGCTGGGACTGGGGGATCTCCAGAGGTCCCTTCCAACCCACAACATCCCATGATCCTGTGATTCTATGATTCTGTGATTCTTCTGCGCTGTCTCCCTTGCCATCATTACACCCCCAGTCCAGGCACTGACACAAAACGAAGCAGGAGCAAACCTTCCTGTCCCTCCTCAAATAAAGGATGGCAAAGAGACAAAGCACCAAGACCCTCCCAAAACCCAACATCTTCTGAAAAGCAGCCCGTGCCGGGGAGAGACGCGACACCCGCTCCCACCGCCCGCACCCACCCCACAGCAGCAGCTTTTAAGCAGGGGAAGTGAGTGATTATGCCACCAATTAAGAGCGCAGGAGGAACTGGGGTCAGCAGAAAGTAATTAGCTCAAGCTGGACGGCAGCCAGCCAGCCACCCGGGGAAAAAGCTCATGAAACGGGAGGTTTAACAGCCGCCAGCAGCCAGGACCTCGCTTTTACATCTTGCTTTAAAGCCCAGGTGGGAGGTGCAGCACGCTGTCTAGACGGCCTCTGGCCAGGAGCCAGGCTTGGCAAAGGAATCACAGAATCATAGAGCACCAGGTTGGAAAGGACCTCAAGGATCATCCAGCCCAGCCCTTCAAGGTAAAGAAATAGAGTTGAAATGCGATGGCCCAGCACCCTGTCAAGCTGAGCCTGAAAACTGTCTCAAGTTGGGGAATGCACCACTTGGAAGACTGTTCCAATGGCTGATTGCTCCCATGGAGTCCCACTGGAATCTCCCGAGGAGCAACTTGTAGCCATTACCCCTTGTCTTCTCCATGGGACTCCTTGTGAAAAGGGACTCTCCATCTTCTTGGTAGCCAAGGAGGACTTGCTCAGCTGAGCTGAGCTCACCAGGGTCTGGCTGCAGGCTGCCTACGGTGCATTCCACCTCTGACAAATGCCCTTTTCTGAAAACAACATCGTCTTTTGCCTTTTATCACACGTCTGTGGCCTCGCTGCAAGGCAAACCACTCGACCAGTCCATATCACGTTTATAGATAATTCTTCATCTGAGATGTCCCATGGCACAGCCTAATCAAACAGGGCTCCACTCATCATGTCTTTTCTTCCGACGTCAAACCAAAGTGCCTAAATGAGTAGCAGAGGTCCCCCAGACTCTCTCTCCCATCGGTGGGATGAGGCAGACACCTCCACAAGGGAATCTCAGCTCTAAACAACCTTCTACTGATGCCAGAGCAGACCCAAGACCATGTTCCACAGCTCAAAAAGCCCAAGGAGAAGATGACCACGAGCTCTGGTGGGTGGAAGGGCGGTCGGGCCAAGGCCAGACTCCCCTCAGCAAGGTTGGACTTGAGCCAAGAGCACGCCACGGCAATCACACAACGGTTTGGGTTGGAAAGAACCTCTCAAGGTCATCTAGTCCAACCCCCCTGCCATAGGCACGGACATCTTCAAGGAGAACATGTTGCTCAGAGCCCCATCCCTTGAATTTGAATGTAGGTTGGAATGGGAAGACCCAACCCTGTTCCCTCAACGCGACATCGAAACCTCCCCCGGAGCCCCGACCGAACCAAAACTCACTTTCCGAAGACAGGCTCCAGGGTACAGGGCAGGTAATTTTCTTGGTCGTTAATGGATTTCTTGCCCACCGAAATCTTCACGTAGGGATCGCACTAAAGAGGGGCATGAAAATAGACGCAAGAGTTACCGACCTGCTGGCAGAGTCCCCGGGAGCCACCCTGAGCCCCCCAGAGCCGCCTCCGCGGTACCTTCCC